ACTGAGATGGTTAGCCCCGCCTTCTCCCCATTTTAAAATTAATTTTGATGCTGCCATATCCACAGCTCAAAAAATCTTTGGCGTTGGAGTAGTGGTCCGTGACCATGAAGGCTCTTTTATTGCTGGCCTTGCAAAGAAATTCGTTGGTTCGGTGAGTGTAGAAATAGCGAAAGGCCATGCTGCTAGGGAAGCGGTCTATTTGGCAAGAAATCTAATGATTCCAAGCTTTATTTTGGATGGAGATGCAGCTTCAATTATTAGCTTATCCTTGATAAGGAAGACATCCTGTCTGACTTAGGCCTAATTATTGAGGATATGCGTTTAGCCTTACTAGATCAACATTATATTGATGTCAAATAGATACCGAGGGAGGCAAATAAGGTTGCGCATACCTTAGCCAATCAAGCTAAGAATGCTAGCTTTTCTGAATCTCTTTGGAATGCTCCTCCAGTCTTTGTCAAACAAATCGTGCTGGACGATTTCCAGCAACCTCAATAATAAAATTTTGGGAGAATTGTAATTTTGGTTCCCAATCTCTAGTGTATGCACGGAATTATCCCAAATCTATTTCGAAAGTCAATTTTGGTCCCCAATCTATTCAACTGTGTGCTAAAATGGACAATTGATGGAATCTCTTCAATTTCAATCGGAACTAAGTCACGTGAGATTACGTGCCGGCACCTAAAACCCCTTTTTCAAATTTTTAATTTCTAAAACACGTTTTTTCTAGTGGCTTGGCTTTTGGCACGGACACTCCTGTCCCTTCAGCTAGATCAATCTCCTCCTCGCCAATTCTTTTCCAATCAAAACTCTGAATTAGAGATCCCAAGGCCAAACCCACCACCCGCTGTGCTAGGCCAGAACCAGGGAAAGATCTCCTTCCCATCCCAAATGGAATCAGTTTTGATGGCTGAACCTGCAAGCCTTTGAATCTCTCTGGCTTGAAGCTTGTTGGATCATCCCAAACGTTTGGATCCCTGTGAACTACCCACGTATTAACTAGCAAAATCGTGCCTTGCAGAATATTGTATCCCCAAATTTTACAGTCATCGGACGACTCACGTGGCACTAGCATTGGTGCTGCTGGTACAACCGAAGTGTTTCTGAAATAATGTTATGAAGATAATGAAGATTGGATAGATCATGTTCGTCGACCAATCGATCAGTCCCTACTTGAGCATCCAATTCAGCTCGAGCTTTCTCTAGCACCTCAGGATGGTTGAGCAAAAGAGACAAGGCCCATTCTATAGTCACCGATGAAGTGTTTGTTCCAACTGTAAGCATGATCTACCAATAATATACTAGTGGTTCAATTGAATGCTCATTCCAGTTCAACGGTGAAGAATGGCTAATAGGGAAAGAATATACTTACCAGTATAATCCCTTTGATGATTTGGTCCGTATAATCCCTTTGATTTTCAATTATTATCATCCGCTCTTCTCTCTCGGCTGCTTGCTTGCTTGCTTATGTAGTAATAGTGCTGCTGCTGCTGCTGCTCCTGTTGTTTGTGTAGAAGAGTTGAACTGGGTCCGTCTCTGGCGTTGATTGCAGATTATCTCCATTACTAATGGAGGCAAGAACAAGACTTGGACTTGGAGGCCAAGCTTAGCTTCTTACTCGTGCTGTGGGTTCTGGTGATTTGAAGGCGGCGGCCAACAAGAGGAGTAATTTGGATTGTGAGATTACCCATTTCATGTCTTTGTTTAATAAGACAAAAGGCAAGAGAAAGCTGAAAATATTAAAAAACATGTTTTAGAAATTAAAAAATTGAAAAAGGGGTTTTAGGTGCCGGCACGTGATCTCACGTGACTTAGTTCTGATTGAAATTGAAGAGATTCTGTCAATTGTCCACTTTAGCGCAAAATTGAATAGATTGGGGACCAAAATTGATTTTCGAAATAGATTGGGGATAATTTCGCACATACACTATAGATTGGGGACCAAAATTACAATTCTTCCTAAAATTTTTCTGTTTGTTTTCTTATCAAAAAAAAAAAGAAACTACTCCCAAGTTCATAATTACCAAATTTGTAATTACTTACTCTTGATAAAACATTTTCTAAAACAATCTAGTTATTCTCTATATCACTGAAAATTTTAATTTTATGTAGCTTTTGATTAATCATAATTGAAATTTATCTTACTATTTATTAGCTTATGACTAATGTTTTCGTTATCTTTGTAACAAAGCAAATGTATTAAAAAATAATTTATATTTTGTAAGGTTAAAAGTTTGTACAATATGTCTAATAATTATTCACAGTTCATCTTGACTTATTTTATTAGTTCAAAAGTTTATTCAAAACTATTTTGTGAAATTTTATATAGCGTGTAAAGGGCATTTGGCCCTGCATAGGAACAAAAGAAAATTTTATACAACATGGGAAGGTAATTTGATCAATTCATGAACTCATGTGCATTGAACATGTCAATTCAGTCCGAAATTGAGTTGTCCAACCCAATTATATCTAATTGAAAAAATTGTAATAACATAGGAGGATAAAATGATGCAATTAGACATTGAAGGGGGCTACACAAGAAAAATGCATTGGAATTAACCATTTTTTTCTTATTTACAATCCCTCTCACCTCACCATCCAATCCAACCCTCCCCCTCCCCCCAGCCGGTCTCCCCCACCAAATTATTGTAAATCTTAATTCTACTATCAAACAGTTATCTGTAGTAAGTATGAAAAATAGATATGAAATATTAAATATAAGTGCAAATAAAGAAACTTAAAAATCACTTAAAATTGCTTGTGTGTAAGTGCAAACACTTGTTTGCATTAATTAGATGAATTTGATATGACATATCAAGTTTAAGTGCAATAAGGAACCTTAAGAATCACTCAAATCCCTCGATTGGTTTACCAAATTTGTCATAAAGATGAAGTGGGATTCATTACTTTTAAGAATAATGGTGCCTGAAATTAATCATGCCTATAATAGTAATATTTTTCTAGTTAAGAATATGTTTGTGCAAAATTTTTTTTTCCAGCTGATGAGTAGTGAGATTTAAAATATAGAGAGAGTGAAGGAAGGATTTAAATTCGAAACTTCTAATTCCTAAGGATTTAGCCTTAATTACTAGACAAAAAATATGTATGTGCATTCGTATATTAGTTTCATTGCTATTTCACTCCGCCCTCCCCTCAAAGATTTTTTGTAAACCACTATTAACCATGGAATCACATCTTTCATGTACATGGATAGAATTTATAATTAGGATTAATGATTCCATCTTTAAAAACCAAACAAAAGCAATCAATTAATACTTTATAATATTAGAAGAAAAAAGATTAAAATGATGAATAATCAATTAGATTATTAGATGGTCAGTCACTTTATCAACCAAAATAAATGGAAATAGGTCACAATCAAACGTGCAAAATGAGATGACAAAGATGACATGTAGTATCAAGCCACTGCACCAATAACTTTAAAGCACTTTCGTTGGATATCATGCCAACTGCTAAGTTCTATCAAAAATTCAGGTTGACTCAACTGACAACTAAAAACATCGGATACCTATTAAGATGAGTCAAAGAACAATTTGCAGTTTTGATGCCCATCAAGAAAACACTGCATTAGCAATAATTTAACAAAGGAATACGAGTTCTAGCAACTATAAAAGGAAGAATCTGCAGCAGAGATGAACAAGTCCTGTAGAGAAAGAAAAACTCACATCTGCCTCCAAACTCAAGCATCCACTTTGAAGACGGCAATCGCAAGAACAAATTCCAGACAATAATCCAAACCACTTTTGGATATTTAAAAAGAAATTATTTTCTTGTTCCTTCTTTTTGTTTCATATTTGAACCATCAATTAGTATATTCAAAATCTTCAACCGTTGTACAAAGTTCATCAATTCAACATTCCAACCATTGTACAAAGTCTATCAACCAAGTAAGTATTTTAGTTGATGTACATTTTCTTCATCAATAAAATATTTTGTCTCATCTTGATATCTATGATTTTATGTTGCATTTATTTGATATAATTCAACATAAAAAACTTGTCTAAAGTTTCTTCTACTTGTTTTTAAATACTAAATTACAAATTAATTTTTAAAGGCCTCTGAATCAATCTTATGTCGAAAAGTACCCGTACCTGAGATAAATGAGGAAAAAAAAGACTCTAAAGATTTGAGCATGCCGATAAAGAATTAAGAATAATTTAGGTATAATAGTATTAACAAAGGTAATGACTTAAAAATCTTTACTTGAGTGGAAATTGCCCCTAAAGGATAGTGTTGTGCCCATGTGAAGTGCTTTTAGAGATTTTTATATGAGTTTGAGAACGCAATTGTCATGGATTTAATTTAGTTAGCATTTTATTTCATTTGAAAATTTTAAATATAACTATTTTACACATAAATGACCATATTGATCAAAGATTCAAAATTTCAAAGATTAGGGACAAAAAATGCAAACTTAAAACTTCTGACTAATTTCAATTTTATTTTGACCATGATATATTATAATTTTCTATTAATTGTCCTAAATCTACCTAAAATTAAAAAAAAAAAAAGCTTTGAAAACCACTTTTATTTTGATCGAAATATTAAGAACTACTTTAGCACATAGACCAAACATTAAGGACCAAAACTACAATTCTCCCGTTATAATAATGTGCAAGGTGACATTGCCTACTGCACCAGATTTTCCACATCAACCTTATGCAGCTAGACTTAGCATGAAGCGTGATATTCCCGTGCAAGCGTCTTAACACTTCACGAGGCCGTGGATGCAGTGAATTCCGAATTTGTCGACTAATTGGCGCTCAATAGTTTCCGGTCATGTGGAGCGTTCTTGTCAATTTTCTGTTACAAGTGCTGAAAATTATGCTCCTAAATAGTGCTTTTATTTCGTATAACAAAACCAATTGACATTGGCGCTCTCACCAGCTACTAGAAAAACAACCAGAACCAGTAGATATCAAAATGCTTAATAGACGTGCCAAAAGAGGTAAGAGTAACTTGGTTAAAACAAGATTCTCTTTCAACAAAGACGGAAAAGAATTTCCATTCTTTTAATTAAACAAAAATTTCCATTAACACAAGGATTACAAAACACACCACTGGTTCTCTACAAAGGAGATAGGGTGGGACAAAACATAAAGATTGGCAGCCAAATGACATGTTACAGAAGACTGCAGTTGTTCACAACAGAATGCCAATTGAAGAATGGACTACAAGAGGCTTAAAACCCATATTGACCCACAATAACTTTAACAAGGGCGCATTACTATCTGATTTCTGGCGCGACCGACGGAGCAGAGGCAACATTTTCGGTTGTAGCATTTGAAGTTCTTGATTTGATACATGAACGAGCGACGTCCAGCATAATGTCAACCTCTTTCTTATACTGCATATTGTGACAATGAGCATCTATTGCACTACTATGTGAAATATATTGGCAGTAAAAACTTGACATTAACTGAAAATAAGTACAAAAAAGAGGAAAAATTTAAAATGCACGATGGGTCCATACCTCATTGATAGCACCTGCCTTGATTTTAGACTGCATCACACACCATTTCTTAAAATGTGCCCCTACAGTAGAAGTTGGGAAGAAAAATATTGAGTTGACATTCTACACATATTTACTTAGAAGGCTTGAAAAAACTAGGCTGTGACTGCTTAGCTAATTATGTTCTGCCTAGTCCAAGAGAGTATGTACATCAATGATTAAAGGCAAAATAGATGGAAAGGTAAAAGAACATTAACAACTCAATTAGGAGTAGGTAAAGCCAGACAAGGTAATGAGCACCATCCTTGGCTGCCAAATATTCCTCCATTAGGTTTAACTTGTTTGACTCGAAAAACTTTTCAGTCTAACGATTCAGCCGAAGGAAGCTTAAACTAATTAAGCAGCTCGAGCAACAACAGACTGTAAACTTGAATACATAATAGCACAGGGAAATTCATGCAGAAGCACATATTCTGTTTGCAGCTGCCCTAAGTTTAGTTGCTTCTGTCAAAGCTTTTTCCCTAGGAAGTTGCCATTGCATGTCAGAAGGGTAAATATGGAGTTTTGCAGCCCTCTTAATACTATAGGAACAGTAAATCTATTGCTCAATTTATTTCTTGAAGATTGAATTCAGCTCTCTGGGCTTTTCCTGAACCTTAGAAACTAATCCCTCAAGAACTATTTTGCTATTTTGCTGGCCTTCTCACATTTTTCTCTGAACCAGAATGGAAATACAGTACTACCAAAAAAAAAAAGATATAATGTGAATCCTCTGGAAACACATGACAGCACAGTTAACCTCAGGATCCTAAAGGAAAAACTTTAGAAGCCATAACTGGTATAGGTAGTTTATATTGAGTTTGCATACTGATTAACAAGAAGAAACCCCATAGATCCAAGAAAAGCTGTGTTGAGAAACAGGATTACAAGAGTGTTGAAACAGCAAAATTACATCCTGAACACTGAAAATATATACGATAGAGGTGAGCAATATTGCCTAGTAAAACCAAGCCCCATAGCAACTACCTAGGTGAGACTCTAAGTGTGCTGGATATTTCCTTAAAACCATGATGTCAGTGTTACACTATCTCTATGATAGTAGCTCAGAGAGACCAGCATTGTCAGGAATGACTCGTCATTCCTCAATCACTCGAAGTGTATGCTAAAAGGTAAATGGAACCATAGCTAATGACTCATCATTTAGCAGGCCTTTAAGAAAATAACACCCATACCAAACATCAGCAGATAACTCTTTGCTCTTGCAAAATTCCAATCTTGGCCTCCAGCAAGAGACCACATCTTCCTTGATTATTAAGTAAGTTATATCATGAGTAAATTTATTATTACTGGACCTTACAAATGCATCAGTACTTCAAAGAGACTATTAGATCACGTTTACTTTTGGACACGAAACATTTTCCAAGAGACTGCTCATCCTTTGCTATTTTTGAGGCCAAGCGCATAAATGTCTTCATAGATAGGGTTTTTTCTATATTTTGCATTCAACCCACTTGATACATCTGATAAGATTTTTTCCAAAAAGAAAAACAAAAATTGGAAAAGATGACTTTGAAGTGTGTAAGAAATATTCTGGAAATATTTAGGGCTTTGAAATGGAAGCAATAAATGGATGACATCCATCAGTGTTCAGTCTGTTAAGATACCATTTTCAGAGATATGAGAGAGAGAGAGAGGGTTAAACTGAAACACGTGCAGATTTCCTTGATTAGGCCAACCATAAACCCCCTGTAACACCCATGACAAGAATGTTCATCGAACGTTCTTAAACAATGCCAGGCCAGTGCATCATGATGCCGAAAAAAAGAAGACAATTCTGCAAAGTGAAAAAGCAAAATGCTAGCATGTTTGAACCGCAGGATGAAACTTACCCACTTTTATATCCATGTTGCATGAGGAGTCAGACTTGGTATCTAAAGACCATCTACAGTGAACCTGAAACAGGAAAGTGAGTAGTCAGACACACATGCCTCATATATTGACATCTCAATGTGAACAACACTCGATGAAGATGCAGATGGTAGGAAAACGTGGTAACGGTGTTGAGCACATTTAAGTTATAAAGAATTTTTATGCATGGAAATCAGCTACACAGATTGCAGCATATTTGAAACAAATACTCGTACATGTCAAGCTACTATCTTATCATAATATAGTCTGTGGATTTAGAAAGACTTCTAATGCAACTGACATACCCTGTACTCAACTACTTTTACAAATTTTAAAAACCAATCGTATTCAGTGATGCCTTAATGTCTAAGAGTTTGATGATGTTCCCAACATCAGTCTCCTATATTTCTTTATGGCAGTGCCAGAATAATGTGAACTCCCTTGAATGGAGATTTTCAACTACACAACATTATCCTTGTCAGATACCAAAGCACTTGCATGAGTTTCCAAGCCATGTTTCCCATCTTCGAACTAAACTAAATTTTTTCAACTCTTCCTTGTGCCCAACGAAAGTAGTACATCCATTTTAATATGCAGGGAACAACATGTCAGGTGAAGTTTCAGTATTCATGCCTTTCCCATTACTTGCAAAATGCAGAGTTGGAATCAAGAGAAGAATCTAAGATGCCATCATCATCATTCACTCACCAGGAAACTCAAAATTGGGTAATTCATATTTCTCCTTTGAAGGCCATACAAAAACCAGAAAGAAGCAAGGTAAAATTATGAAAGAGTAGGAAGAGTACCTTGGCTTCAAATAAACTTGTTTTCCAAGAATAAGACTAGTTTACATTTTTTTTTTTCCAAATACCCTACCACCCTCCTCACACCCAACTGCCGGCCCAAGATTCAAACCCCAAACCTAGCAGTGCAAAAGAAGCTGAAAACATTTGATATATTATCTCGTAATTACCATTCCTAAATTAATTTTATGAAAGCAAATCCCCAGTCATACAAAACATAGTTTTCCAAGTATCTCCCATTCAATTTTATCTATACTCCATTCTATACTTTATTATTTTTATACTTGTATTTCCAGCGTAGCAAAAGTTTATATATCAGTGTCAGCAAAGATTGCTGTACATTCTTTATTTCGAGAAACTCATTCTCAAACATGACACAGTCGCTGTTAGTACCAGTTAAGTATAACAGGTTATCAACTAATATCAAACATCACCAAATTTGGCTCTCGAAAACTGGATTTAAATCATACAAAAGGACATAAGAGAGAACATCAACGCAGCAGGAAAATCTGAACTTAAAAACATTTTAGTACTACGAGTCCAACTGACAAGCAACTCAATCTTTTAAATGCAATATACCATTAAACAGAATAGTTAATCCAAATCTTAAAACACATTACAAAAACATATGACAGTGAACCTCATGTAACATATGAAATGAGATTAGAACTCTTTGTAGGGATAAAAGAAAATGAAGTTTACAAACAACAGAACAAAGAAAGATCACAACACTGATGAACCCAATATATCGCCAGAGGTAGGGACTACACAAATGGACAATAATTCTGAGCAAATTATAAAAAAAAAAAAAAGAGGAGTTCAAAAGAGGCATAACCAGTTTCACGTGACTCTTTATTCCCCAACTCCACCCCACTTCGCCCCTCCCCACCCCCCGCACATGCGCTAAAAGGAAAATTTGAAGGTAATTTAGAAAAAGATCACTAAATGCTAACAAATATGATGAGAAAAAACCAAAACTTCAAGCAGTACACACAATTGGTTACTAGATGACTAGCAGACAATATGAATATATCAATATTATCAGTAGATAACTCAGTCCAAGACAATTAAATATTTAGGAAAAAGAGGTAATTAGAATCTAACACGGTATAAACGATGACCAAAAAACTGGCATACCTCGAAATAAGATCCAAAAGGAACGTCATGTGCCTGTTGTACAGTCTCAAAGACCTAAAAAGAACAAAAAGGAAATGAAAAACATCAACACCACAGGAGGAAAAAGGAAAGAAAAAAAGACACATAACTACAGTAACGGAAATACGTAACATAAGAAAACAGACCAGCATCTTTTTATCTGCTGATAAAACCGCATGTTGCCATTCTGTCATTGCTGTATCTGGAGGGCACATTGGGCTGTTGCATAGTGATCTGAGTGTAATTTCCCTGACTTGACCATCATACTCATCTGCAGCATGCCATGGACCCATCTAAAGACAGCAGAAACCAATTTCAAAATTTTCCACAACAGCAAACCAAATTCTAAATGTCTACAATGGATCACCATGGCAAATCTTTATCTTCCATCAGACTACATAATACGCTAAATCTGTTAAAAACATAGCTCCAAGCTTTGCCAGCTATATATCACAAATTGACAAAACTGAAACATCTATTGGAGTTATTCATGACAACAGAAAACTGCATAAAGCGTGATATTGCATGTTGTTTGGTCATCAAGTCAGTTGTCGTTCTCCCTTTTTGATTTCTATGTGCAAGGATGCCTGACAAATTAGTGAGGAACGCTTAGTAATCCCTGATGGCACAATACAGGGCCAGCTGTTAGCCTGGTTCCTAGTTGCTTTAGTCAACTAGAGTGTGTTGCCAGCCGTTTAGCACCAGAGAAACAAGAACACTAAGCCTAACCTTATTGAGAAAGCAAACTGACAACATATAGCAACTAAGCCAGCAGATTAACATGAAGCAAATCTATGACGCCATAAGTATTGGCAAAGCTTCCTTGGCTTGTGTAAATATGGAAGATTGTGCATATACTTGTGATCACAGAATTATCACCTTCTATTCAGTTTTTCTCATTGTTCTTCTTCAACTGTTAGTGATGTTATGCAGATTTTATCAAAAAGGAGGCAAATAGTAAAGCCAACTAGGCTGGACAAACACCTCACAGTACAGTACAGGTCTAAAATAATAATTAATTTACAAGGCCTTACCTTCCACTTCAGCTTGAAATCACATTACTATGCATCTTTACAATAAACAAAAATAAAGCCCACTAAAATCTAATCCAGCTATAGCTATGTTTCAAAAGCATTTGTTCAACAAACTAGAAAAACTGGCTAGGTCATTGGTCACTGGTCTAACCATTCGGCCAGACACAATCAACTCATCAACTCATAACATCAAAATAACACTGTAGAACTGTGGACATTATCAGAAAGATGTGGATATTTACATAAGTAGTTACAGCAATTACCATATTAGTGTAGAAAGCAAAATTTAAACCACTATTCCATCTATGAATGTAAACCATAAAAAGTTTCTGGTAAAGATTTTGGTTGTACCACAAAATAAGTTAATCTCATGCTAAAGAAAATACAAATATTCTAATTGTAACTTTCAATGGGACAAATGTAGATTTCCAACTTCCAAAATTTAAAGAAAAGGAAAAAAAGAAAAAAAACAAATAAAAACTGAATGAACAAGAGAAAATCAACAGTAGATAGGAACAGAAAGTTCAAGAGAAAGTCAAAGGTGAAACAGTTCAAAAAGAATATGAATGAGTATAAGCTCGTTAATGTGAGAGAGAACAAAAATAGATCAAGTGAGAGAGAATAAACTTACATGGGCCAACAGATAAATCAAAAAGATAGAATTTATACTGTAAGGTCCTGAATATATGCACGATATGTCATAAAGGCATGTGGATTCTACGAAGAGGTAAATGTTTGGCAGTCTCACAGACACACGGAAAAAAAAAAGTGTCAAAGACCATCATCAAAAGTCCAAATGACTAGACTGTTTGATCCATTAAAGTTTTTTTTTTTTTTTTAAATTTATTCATTGTCCTTTTCTTTTTAGCAGGGGGTGGATTTTAGAAGCGGGAGGAGGAGGAAAGGTTGGGGAGGAGGGGTTTTGAACCCAAGACCTCGAATCCGTGGGCCATCAACCTTACCTTAGCCATTTGACCAAGGCCTCTCAGCAAGTTGGCTAATTTCTACGGTTTGATCCAGTCAAATTGCATAATGATATTTAGCGTCATCCTCGCTAAGAAAAGCTAAAACTAATCAAGCTTAAAATAGGAAGTCTATAGGCGGCACAGCTAATACCACTCAGCAAACATGCTGATTTAGCAGTATAACAATGAAGCTTGTTAAGGAACAATGAAGAAGGTTACCCACCGAAAGATTGGTATCTTTTCGTACTGCTCGATACTCATTTGTGAAGGTTGACCCATCATTCAGTAGTAATTCAAAGAATTGCTCTGCCGTGCATGGGAAAGTATCCTGAGAGGATCTTTGTTAAAATTTTATTGATCATATATGATACAAGAATTTTTAATTCCAAATGCAAGAAAAGCTTAAATTAGATACATACACTGTAGATACTAGAAAGTACATCCTCCCTGATAAATGGTTGAAACTTTGCAACACTTTCCTTTGGAACCTTATCTTGACGCTCGCTACCTCTTACGGAACTACTATGGGCACGTAGTGCTGATTGTTCCTTCTCCTATACACCAGAAAGGAAAAGATAATGAAGCAGTAATGTTTCCAAAAGATTATGATTTCATTTTATTCGATGTCTTTTATTTATTAAACACCCCTTGAGAAAGAGGGTGCTAAGAGACGTCTTCTTGAAAACAAATGAGCTCAAAAAAAAAATTTCAATATTAACAAAATTCTCTATACAACTCCAGGAGTAAGATATGGCGCTACATGCATCAATTATGATAACATTGAGGCAGAAAATTACCCAGCATCATCATAGAGAACAAAATGCAGCTGCAGACTGAACTAGAAGTATCTGATAGCTTGTCATTCTTCAATTTGGTACTGAGGTTTCATTAGAGATTAAAACTAGGGCAAATTGTCCCCAACAAACACATTCACTTAGGCTATCATTGTCTTGAAATATTTTTACAGGTCAAGGGGTTCATAAGACATCTTTCATTTCTCTTGTTGGCAGGAAATATCTAAATAAGTTTTTCTTTTTTTTTTTTCCAGTTTAGTAAAGCAAGAACTTAGACAAATACTCAGGATTACAAAGATAAATTAAGGTTTTTCAAAGAATAAAATTTAGACAAAGCAGCAATTTGTTACACTCGCAGAAAACAAAAACACCAGAGACAGCATATATATATATAATAAAAAAGAGAGAGCTGTGAGGCAAATATCTGGAAGGCAAGTGGGCTCCATGTCAGACCAGGCAACTCCCTGAAAGTATTTCTATGGGAGTTGGCCTTTTTATTCTCCACAGAAAGAATTTTAAATTTTTGGGTCAAACACCCAGTAGATGAAGTCCAACATTCCCTATGAATTACTAAATTTAACTGCCCATTAAATGGGGGCTTTTAGGAACTAACTCACACCTCTGTACCAAACTTGAACGTCAACCTTTCCATATTCCGGACTGATCTTACTTTCCTTCATAGAATACCACAAAAACAGTTTCGCTCTCCTTAATAGGATATCTTAAGTGCAAAATGCTAACGCACCCTTGCGTAGTTAAAGTTAAAATTATCAGCGTAGCCCCAGATTTTCCCTGTATTGAGAAAAATTAAAATTTAAGGTCTAAACACATAGTAAGACGGTTTACAACAGAAAAGGAGATTGTTTTCCGACATTTTACATTCATCTTACATGAAAAGTCCTTCATTATTTTGACGATCTATGAAGCAAGGCTGTCTAAGCAATCCACATACAAGCAAAATGAATCCCACTGAAGTAGATGATGTAAGAGATTAATTCACAAACAAATGAAGAAAGAAAAGCTAGCACTCTGACCTTCTTCTCAGATTCAAGCATTGTATGATAGTTCTTTGCTGAACGCTGTAAACCTCTCAAAGCATGGTTTCTGTTCCAAAATGATGCAAACTTATACCTAACTCTACCTGAAATTGTAGAAAGTACAGCAGTTTGGCTCTTATACAGGCATCAAAGCATATAGAATTAACAGAAGTCACAAAATCACAAATATGACCCCACAGATTTCCCCACTAATCTCTGTCTAAGCAAAAATATCCATCAACAGAATAGAATAAAACACAATGAACAGCAAAAAGATTTGAAGATTCACGGCCAAAGAAGGAAAAGAAAAAAATCAAGATAAACTAAGCTACCTAGGTACAGCAGAAGTATATGACAGAATATTTTGGGGATTCCCCATTTAGAAAACAAAAAATTATAACATCTTAAGTTTGACAGTCCATTGGAGTTCCATAACTACACTCACTCTTAAGTTTCTTTCCTTGCTAGCAATTTATAACATCTAGACCTGTAATGATTAGCTGAAATTTAGTTCAAATTCGAAACCATATACTATAAGTAATAAATCAAGCAAAAGGTACTTAACAAGTACCAACCATCAGGACTTCCCAGAGGAGGCACTCCATGCCCACCAGCACCCATGCGGAGAACAATGGTAATTGCTGGATTGATGACAGCATGCTGGCTTCTCTTTATCTGAAACAACAGCAAAATGAATTCAGAACATTCTGTACATAGATTTTCCTTTCAAAATCCCCAGTACTAAGGAAAGAATGAGTTGACAACAAAGAATGAGTGGGTTGCCTACCTCATCGATATCTCCAAAAGGTATAATGACCTGCCAACCAGCATAAAAAGAAGTTGGTAATGAAAAATGCTCAATGACTGCAATGATTGGAACATTTTACAAGCAACAGCTCTTGAAAAGACTGACACATTAGTGAAGCATGAATTTCACATGAGAGATAAAAGCATGTATAGGAAAGTACCAGACTAGAAAACAAGAATTTTATTCATTAGTCAAGTCTCAGCTTTCTCTGTTGAGATTTTACTGATGGGCATCTCGGTGTACAATCAAAAACAAAGTGAGGCAAATCAATATTACAATGCAATTGCACAAAATTGTCGATCTTATATAAACAATTACTACAACGCAAGAAAAGTAAATTATCATTAGTTCACAAGGGAGATTCTCGAAGTCAAGGTGCTTTTAAAACCTAAGAGCACTTTACTACTTTTATAAAGTTGCTATCAGGCATTGGATGTTCATCAACTGGATTGGGTGTATATCTCTATTACAGTAAAAAGAATTACTCAAGCAGTTGAGAATATGTCCATTAGTTTCTTCTACAAGTCTAATCATCTGCCACAAAACACTTTCAGAACTTCTAAACAGAAAGTAAAGAGCAGAAGACCCTGAAAATTCTAGAAAACGAAATTTGGACTACGAATGCCTTCTGAACATGTTATAGTCTTTATTATTATTATTATTATTATTATTATTTTATGTTATGTTCTTTTTATTAAGATGCATCAACACGGTAATGCTCAATATAAACAAGTAATCTTCTTATACGAATGATGAGCCCTAACTGAAAAAAATCCACAAAAGATTTAATGCTTGACAATTGCGTAATTAAAATGACAAAAGAAAGAGGGAATAACACATCTCTAACCAAAAGAAAATCTTGTGGTATAATGCCTAATTGAAACAATGAGCTTCCTCATTAACTACTTTACCCAAGTGGTTTTCCAAGAAATGCTCAGATACATTATAACGATGCACCATAAAGCTTCAAATGTGGAAGCACCAGGGACATACCAAAGACAGGAATAAATAAGCAGAAGTAGAAATATAATGAACTCGACCAAAAAAAATGGAGAAGATTTAGAAAGAAACTACAAAACAACAACAGATTCCAACATAATAATCCAATGAAAACACAACGTTGTTTAATCCTTGCAATTACAGATCTGAAGTCAACCTTTATTTGCTTTGAGAATACATTAGAATGGAAGCAGATGTGCCAAGCGGAGACATACATTCTGCCATGATACAGAAATGATCTCTCAAGTGCACATGAATAGCTGTGCTCAACAACCTGGAAACATATTATTGAGTCAATGACTACTTAATTTGAAAAGAGACATTTATTCTGACAAAGGCCTAAGCTAAACATGCAGTGATGCTAAGTCAATTATAACTTTTGTAGCATATGGTATATTAGGACTTTACCTCATCTGGAAGAAGACCAAATATTGTTTGCAGTGGCCCTGGTCTCTGATGAACAACTGTTGGACCCTGTTTATCCAACGTCCTCCTCCTAGCATTTGCTCCGGCAAAGCCATTCAATTCCCTAACAGAATTTTTTTAAATTAACAAAATTTTTCTGGATGAGTTTAGTCAGAAAAAGATAGATGACAACAAAGCAACATCCAAATTGGTTACGATGGTCAACACTAATAAATATTCAAGATACTAACTGAATAGTAGAAAGATTTCAACTAAACTTGAAGCTCATTCGCAATAAAACCAATTTGATCTCAATCAGTTGGTATTCGTCCATTTTGGTTTAACCAAAACTCAAACTTTTTCCATTAATTTATTATTGGCTCATTCATAAACCATTGCAATAAGCCAAAATCATTACACAGATTACATAATGCAATGATCAGCAATGTACTCCATGTCAACTAGTGCTATTCAACCAAATTAGCTACAGTTTAACCAAGATGACCATGAATTATGTTATCTGAAATCATCACAGCCCACATTACTGACATAAGATTTTAATAGATACAAACAAAACATGAAGCAATTATCTGCAACTTGCTCTGCTTAAAACTGATCGACCACCCTTATAGACATTTACATTATACCTGATTGGGCTACATTAAAATAAACTTGTTGCGGTCATTATCAACCTGTGCAACTTCATTTCAATCAGCCCCAATTCATTAAAAAGCAAATCAGGTCGTTGAATTGATTGTTATTAGCATATTTTAAATCAACAGCTCATTATTAATCAAAATCTAGCAATTTCCCAATAAACTTGTTGAGCCAGTTCAAGCTCAGCTGTATTTCAGATCATTTATTGCAAGTCATGCAAATCAGCTGCTCTAGTTCAAGGAAACTTATTGCAACCATCCACAACTTACTGTAATCTGTAGTTTACGTATTGCTATTCATCTCAACTGGCAAGACAAGAAGTAACGTGGTTGTATCTTATTCAAAGTTAACTCATTCTAATTAAATTTTGCATCCAAATGATAATCCTCCAGAAAGACACCTTCCTCCATCATTCATAGGATACTCCAAATGATGCTCAAAAGAAATACTTCAATGTCACCAAAAACAAAGAATTTGTAATCGTTCATAATTGAATGCACATGCATATGAAGAAAGTACCTGGGAGAATTGATAAGAAGCCTAATTGTTTTGATATGAAGACAAACCTGACAAGAAAGAAGAATATTTGTTTCATGTGTACAAATTACTTGAACTGACAAAAAAGGCACACAGTAAACTCCCAAATATGAAGATAATTCAGATAATCAGCTACCTGCCCAGATGTACTATCCAGTGAGTACCACAAGGCACCAGTTTGACCTTCAGTTTCAACAGGAATAGTTACAGAGCCAAGAACTGCACTTTTCCAAATTATATCCCAATCATATATTGTCACATTAATCTGCCCATAAAATTAGACAGAAGAATTAATGCAAAAGAACCATATGGAGACAGGACACTCAATCAATTAGATAGATGTATCTTTAGAAAAAGTATGCCACTAGAGAATTTCAGTTTTAAGAGGTTTACTACATAAATTCATTAGTAGTGCTCTCATGGATAACTTGTTGTTCAAGCCAATAATTTAAACCTTGAAAACTCCATTTGCTGTTTTGCCGCCGGTGAGCAGTTTCTTTCTACAATATAAACACTGACTATTTCCACCAAGAGAGGCGTACGAGTTTGGAAAAAAGGTGGTTAGAGAACCTGTTTGGAGTCTCCCTAAAAGATGTTTTGAACCAAAAAACACTAATTTATTGGAGGCAGAAATTTGTAACACATTACAAAGAAAAGATTCATAACCTAAACATTTTTTCCAAAACTTAAGTATGAGGACTATTTTTTAACATCTACAGCCTTGAAAGTTAGGATATAAAAACAAGTACCTCAGCAGGAAGTTCATCAACCGGAAAGTTAAACTCCTCTCCCCACATAGGATTTCTTGATCCAGGAACCATTGAACTGCAGTAATTCAAAAATTAAAGGTTCACTAAGTTTACATTTATATTTGCAAATATGTGGCAAACCAACAAGTGGTAAACCACATATTCTATCCAAATTTTATTTCAAAAAACAAGAAGAACTTAGTCGTTCTCCATTCTTAGGCACAAGACTCAGCCATATGTATAAAAAATTTTGGAAACAGAACTAACTATAGAATCTGAAAATCCAAGTCATTTAGAAGCTCACAATACAGTCAACTACTGATACAATCCTTGCAATTATGACTTTCTGCTAAAACTATTTCCCTGCTCATCAAATTTGCAGGAGCATGACAGTCAGAAAAAAGGAACAACAAAAATTAATGCAACAAGCTTCAAAACAGCAAAGACAATGGCTGGATCAATCTGATGAGATTTGTGGTATCTTTTCTGCAAGGGTTTGATGATCCTGATAAACAAGCCAGTTTCTTGATGTTTTTGAACAACTAAGACATTTTCCCAGAATCCAAACAAAAATCAAATGCCCAAGTAACTAGAGTCATATAGACAGAGGATGCAACATAATGTGGTCTTGTCACAACAATTATACTTGTACTTGTTTGTGCTCAGGGGAAGGCAGATGATAGACTGCCTCATCAGAAGACAAAAATCAAGAACTATTGAACTTCAGCATTGCCGACCCAGGCCCCTCCCCCTTCCCAAAAAGAAAAAAAAAATGCAGTCGTTCTCCTGCAGATAACAAACTATAGGGTAAGCAAATAAATATGTTGATCCTGTACCCTGCACTGAGCCTCTGTGATAAAGCAGAGTAAGGGTTGGAAACAATTCTTCAGAGGACAAGATAAGGATTCAAAATTTGGGTTATAGTTCAAGCCTATAGAATACCGGGTATATCCCGTGTTGGCAGCAAAAGGGTCAGATTACATAGGTTAGGGTGAAAACGTATCCCTACTGACTCTCAGAAATTGTAAGATTCTTTTTTCTTTGAAGTGTTTAACCACTGGAAAAGTTTGTTATATCAAGTATTGCATCTCTAGTTTCAAGATAACTAAAATTTATGGCCACTTAAATCATCGATTACATGTAATGATTTTACTAGTACTGCATGAATCATCTTTACAAGATTTATACTTAATTAAGTCATTGTTTAATGTTTAACAAAATTCTAACATTTCAAAATGAGGTTAATTTTGGGATTTTTTTTAAAAAATTACATTGTGCATTACAAACTGAGTTCTATTTAATATCTATTGTTAATAGCTTAGCTTTATTTTTCAAATCATAAGTTTGCAATTTATTACTTTTCATATCCTTAATTTGAGTTTAAATTTCGGTTTTTACAACTAACTTTCATGTTATTCTTCTTAATCCATTTTATAAGTTTCCTTTTATTTGTTTTCGTGTTGAATTTTATTTTCTTTATTCATTTTTGCTAAGGCACAATAACCACTTTAAAATCTCCATGTCCAATGTTGTTTAGTTATACTTTCCAATAACTTCAACAATGGAAATACCTGCCCAAATTCTCATGATTTGCATCTATCTATTCCAATGTATTTTCCAAATGTTGGTCTGCTAATCAACTGATTTCAAACAACATTTAACAGAACAAAGCTTCTAAAAGGTTTACCTGAAACACTATTAAACCTGTCTAGGTAGATCAAAACACTCATTTAATCCTCGGGCTAAGATTCATTGGCAAAATCTGAATGATAACTGAAAAGGCAAAACAAACATATATCTCGAATGATATTGGGATAGAATACACAGAGAGGTTAAAAGGCTCTTCCAAACTTGTCTAACCTAATTTGAGATAAACCTGGACCATAGTCAATGGTACTTGGTGATGCAATGTGCATCACCAAAATAAAAAAAATGACACACTAGATGTAATATATAACCAGCAAATTACTCATCAACAACAATGGTAAAATTGCTTAATGTCCCCCAAGCTGACTAAAATTAGTCTCACCTTTAACACAACTAGTGATTAGCAGTTTTCGCAACAAGATTTAAAAAAAAAAAAAAAAAAAAACACTCGTAGACCAAGCCTGTTTAGTAATACTAGAAAAACCAAATAAGATCTCGTCACCTGAATCGTTTTTCTCTGCCACAGGTAATTATTGCATAAGGATCTGAAGTGCCATTTAAATTTGCACCAATAAGATTCTTAGCTGCAAGGAGTTCCACCTAGAAAAGAGAACAAATCTGTTATTAATCGAGTGTAAAATCTGACCATTCCATGCACTTGAAGGTAACAGACCTCATCTTACTCTTCAATGAATATGATAACTACCAAGACCAACAAAGCACCATAAATATGGCAACTTGATAGTGACCAGAATGGACATTCAGGTTTCAAGATATCTCAAGGTACCTTAATCATGTATGCAGCATTAGCTTGAGACTCTGCTTTATATATCTACAAAATAAGTGCACGACTGCACGTCAAACAACTGGAATATTATTCCTGAAACCAATTATGAACAAAATGGCAACCACATCAAAATAGAATGTAACCATTTTATCCTCTAAAAGAAACCACTATCCAAAAAAACAAAAACAATAACACAGCATCCATTGGGAAATTGTAGTGTGGTGCAAAGAAATCGTACTAAAAAGGGTTTGATAGTGTTTAGTCATACACTCAATCCATTGTATACTTTATTTGTCAAAAGAAAATAAGCACAAATTCCTCGAAGGTGAAATTAAATTTGAAAAAGGGTAAAATACAAAAAAATTCCCCGTGGTTTGTCAAATGTTCAATTTAACTCAGTCAGGTTTGGAAACCTACACTATAGCTCCCTACGGTTTCAACTAAATTAAAAATCGGATGGAAAGCATCCAATTTAATGGTTGCACGTGAAATGTCAATATTGCGCCTGTATAAATGAACTCCTTGTGGTTTATAAATTTTTAATTTAACTCCCTCTAATTTGGAAAACTACACTATAGCTCCCTGCAGTTTCAACTAAATTGAAAATTAAACAAAAAGCATTTCACGTATAGCAGGGGCAATATTGATATTTCGCGTACAACCATTAGATACAATATAGCTCCCTGTGTATCTAATGGTTATATGCGAAATATCAATATTGCCTCTGCTATACGTGAAATGCTTTTTGTTTAATTTTCAATTTAGTTGAGACTGCAGGGAGCTATATTGTAGACTTTCAAACTAGAGGGAGTTAAATTGAACATTCGGCAAACCACAAGGAGTTTTTTGGTATTTTATTCTTTGAAAAAATTTAAAATTACAAGCCATTATTGAATCACCAAATTTTATCTTCATCAATACATCACAAGCCACAATCTTATTTCTGATTGTAGCCTGGGCAACAGGGTTCATGACTGTATATTCTTTCAGCTTGGGAATATACCTAACAAATTTTTCCATCTATTCAACTTCATCTGTTAAATGTTAACATCTTTCAACTAATACTATGTAACAGGAATATTATCCAGGAACTAGACAACAATTTCAACAACTTTTTCAAATAGGTGAAAAGAGGGTAAGTTGAGTGATGAAGGGGTCAAGAAACTTAACAAGTTCCAAAGCGCCACATGCATATAGTTGCAAGAATGAGGATTAAACATTATATACATGCATCACAAGTAAGCGGGGCCATCCAACGTTACTCAGGAATTCAAAGGCTAAATGTATTTCAGAATTTAGCTTAATCACATGAATAAGGGAATAAAAGAAAATGATGATTTGCATAGGTCAGGGCACTTGGTCATTGCTGTTCAATCTTATCCATTATGAACAATTTTCTTAAGATGCATTATTGCACATTAAGAAAAATATAATGAACGCAATCTAAATTTAGCCATCTAAGAAAATCTCTTAAAAACAGAATAAAAACACAATCTTTACTAAGATTTGGTCAATAAATATAGCCATCTAAGAAATTCCTTAAAAAGAGAATAATAACACAATTTTTACTACAATTTGGTCAATAAACTTTCTTAATAAAACACAGACTCAAAAGTGTGACAACCAAGCCAAGAATCATTAATTGCCGTCGTTGATTATGTTCCTTTTCCTACTGCAGCTACGTCATTTTCAGTACAAAGAAAAATATTGCTGTAACATCAGTGTCAATAGCTAATCAAGCTTTCTAATTTTGCATAAGACTGTTAATAACCTTTTTTCTACGCAACTAACTAACAATGAAACAGGTTTATGAAGCAATGCAAAATATTTACACCAAAAGAACGCAGTCAAATTACGCGGGTTACACTCATTTGATTAAAAGCTTATAATTCTCACATAAGGAGTTTACAAAAGATAATAACAAGAATAATTTTTCGTTCTTTTTATACAATAAAATGCATAAAAAATGGAAACTTTGAAAATCTACAAAATTGGAACTTTTTTTCTCAACAGACTTGATTTCAGCAATCTTGCGTAAAAGATAAAAATATTAAGCACAATTATCAGTAATTAAGCTAGCATATAACTATTCACAACCACCATTAAAAAAAAAAGCAATTGAAATCGCATTTCCTAATAAAAATTAAAAAGGCAGCAAAATTGAGAATAATGATATGAAAGGGTAGAAATTTTTTCAGTAGCAAGAAATAACTAACTAAATAACAAACTAGTGAAATGATGTAAGACAGAGGGAGGCTGAAATTACAGAAACGCCCTTATCTTTCTCATCAATTTCATCACCGCCAACCATCATGCGATCATCCGCGTTTCCTTCTCCTCCAACACCGGCGCCGCCACCCAGAGAGAGAAACCAATAAGCCAACACCACAAACGCCGCGGCCGCCACCGTGACTTGCACCTCCCACCATGACGGAATCAGAAACTCCATAACCGCCGTCTCCAAATTCCCCATATTACACAAATTTCTCAATAATTCAAAGAAAGAAGAAGAAGAAGACGAAGAAGAAGAAGATTTATTGAACGTGGAAATGAAAAGCCAAGATGATCGGCTATCAATTATGATATATAACGTAGAATCTCATTAAATGGGTTCTAGAAGAGGGAGGTTGAATTCTTCCTAAACCCATCAATCTGAAGAATTCTGTCAAATTTGTCATACTATAATATTGTATTTGTAGCGAGCCACAGAGAGAGAGAGAGAGTGCGTGAGTGTGTGTGTGTGTGTGTGTGTGGGGTTGAATGGGACATGGGGGAGTTGTGGAAAAGTTAGACGTGGAAAGGTGTTAAATTTTGTTGCGTAAAATGACAGAAATGGGCTTGCTAACTGCCTAAAATAGTTCTATTTTTATAATACAGGCTTGGTTTGACAAGCGAATTTTTTAGATGTTTATCTAAAATTTTACCGTAACTTATTGTATACGTTTTTTAAAAAAAATTTTAAGTGTTTTTTTTAATATTTTAAAATATATAGTTTAACAACTTTGAGAAATTTTTTGAAGATACTGTAGTTAAAGTTTTTTAAAGATTTGTAGCAAATAAACTTAGCAAAAATTTTATTTACCAAACAAGGCCATAGTTATTACTATATTAGATCATTTTGTTTAGCATGATTATTATCACAAGATTTTGATATGACAGATTGTTCTGAAATATTTTCATTTTTGAAAAACAAATTATGATGTATGTATGCCATAGATTGCTCTTGTATTAAAACATTTCGTTTTATATTATCATAAACTTTCGACACAACAAATTATTCAGATAGATTTTTGAATGAAATATTTTTTATTTTTTGAAAAACAAATTATGAGGTATATTATAGATCGATGTATATTATAAACTGCTTAGAGTAACATATCTTTTGTTGTTTATAGAGTTTATATAAAAGAACTTTTTTTAGTATGTTCAAATCATAAATGTGATATTATATGTCATGTTCATAAAAATTTTGTATCTTTTCAAAAAAATTTTAAAAAAATTAGCTGTGGCTTTCAATTGGTAGTCTTATTAGTCAACTTGATTTATTTGTAGGGTTTGACTTGACATACTTATAACCTTTTGTAAGGGAATTTTTAATTTATAGAATAATTTACTTTCGTAAAAAAGCCAAAAAAAAAAAAAAGAGTATTGATGCATTATAACACACACAGCTACTTATAAAGAAAAATATGATCAACAAAAGATAGCCTAGAGATAAAATGGAAACTTGAAGTTGTGAATTGAAATAAAATGGAGGGTAGTTTGGGAAAGAGAGGTTGAGGTTGGAATATCCATCTTGTAATTAGTTATATAAATTGTAACGCGTGGAATATTTACGTAAGCGAAAGAGACAAATGGGGAGTAGTAGAGTTCAAAGTCTTTGGCCGTTGCCATCATTCCGCTGCCTCAAGTCCTCCTCCATGTGATTTTCGATTTTGTCAATTTTCATTTTCGTACACGTAGAAGAATTCTATTTTGCTAATTTCAATGCTGTTTATTCAATTTTTGTTGCTTGTTGAATCAAGAGGATATACTGACTTTTCGTGTTCTGTTTTTCTTTTAGTCTTCGGAGTTAGGAGTCTACATTTCTTAGGAAGTTGCCAAATTATTTCAAAATGGACCAAGTTTTGATTCCTAGAAATTTAAGTGATTCTTGAAATTTTATCGAAAGCAAATCTAGTTTTTAATGTTTCTAAATTTCGACCAACAAATAAAAATTGGCATAATTTTACTTTTAATATTTTCAGTTTTTTTTTTTCGACACAGGGGTGTCCGGGTCAAATATTACGGGGCCCGACTAATTTCCTGCGGCTCGGGCCCGGCGCCCCAACACGACCCGAACGCAATAAGTGCGCGGAGGAACCCAGCGGAGCGGAAACTTGAACTTGGGACCTTAAGGATCACCGATGAGAGCCGCTACCGCTGGACCATTCACGCGGGGCTCTCAGTTTTGATGAAAAGAGCATTTATTGATAAATGTTAGACAATAATTACTGGTAAGAGTTATGTGATTGGAAAATTAAAAAATATGCTACCCTTCAAATCACCTGCTAATTCATGATTTATCTAATTTATCACATTGTCGCTATTATTTATAACAATTGCAATTTGTGGATTTATTACAAAGATTGGATTTTTGTTAGAAAGGTAAAGTTGTTTGTGCACACTTTCTCGGGTACTTTCCAAATGTCCCTTAGATTTAGCAATCAGACAAATTGCAACAGTTGTGGGTTTTCGGTCCAAATCGAACAACTGAGGAACAGAGTACCGATTTGGCCGGCTTTTGGAATATTCATCATTGCTAGATTTGTTCTCATTGAAACTTTGGAATCAACGTTAGTTAGAGCGACTCTCGAACTTAGCGACCAAAACTAATATTTTTCCTTGTCATAACCGTTCAACGAAAGCAAATGAAAAATATTTCATTTGTCTTCAACTAGATTGGTAAATTAGAAATACTATACACGAATAAATTCATTTGTTAATACCAAAATGTTGTGCTACCAAACTGAAGAAACGAGACCTCACGAGTTGAGTTGAGTTGAGTTGTTATACAATTTAAACTAGTTGACCTAATTTGTACTACTTTTAGCATAAATTCGTATAATTTTGGTGTAATTTTGATTTTTGTACTAACAAAGTTGTATGATTAGATAAACTCAAGTTTACGCAATATGTTATGGTAATCACATAACGGTTTAAATTAGACAGCAACTCAACTACCGAGGCTACAAATCTCCAAATTGATCTATAGACAAGATAAAAAAATCCTTTGTTTGATTGGTTAACATTAGAAGTCATTTTGATGAATCAGACTAAGGGGGAAGTGCCCGTGCATCATGCTAGTGTTTGGTGTATGTGGTTAAAGAAAATTTTATATTGAACAAATAATAGTACATGTTGAAAAGAAATGGTTATCAATTATGACAAAACTAATAATAGTAAATTCTAATTGCAGCACACATATGTACACTTTACTTTATCAATGTTTTTACAATTTGACCATTCCCAAAAGACTCCTACCGATGCCAATTGAAAATCGCTCAAATGTAGACATAAGTTGTTTCAGACAAAAGAATATCCTCCAACGGTTAGTTATAGTAACATGTTAATTGCACAACGTGTTAATTTGTTTTTGTGTTAATTGCACAATAAAAGTTACACTTTAATTAAATGTGTTTATAACATCATTTCAACAATTATACCAACACATAAACTTATATGAATTGTACTCGATACAAAAACGGTTACAAAATAATTTCATATTCCAGAAATACCCAGATGTTTTCATAAATCAAAATTTTAAATGTATCAAAATGAGAGCATTTCGGTAAATCTACGTAAACACATGCTGCCCTCAATTGTATCAAAAATTTTAAAACTAGCCAACCATTCATAGCTCAAGTTTTGAACGATTGCTAGTGTCGTACGGCGTGTCTGTGTATAGGAATTTAAGCAGCCCGTGACACAGGGAATTTGGTGCCGGATGTGGTGGAATCTTATGCCGCGAAATTTGCTGCATAATTGCTGATCCGGTTGAGTTTGCAGAAAGTCAATGTTGAAGGCAACGCACGAAAGATTATCAGCATCTTTCAGCGCCATGAATATGATGGCTCAGATTGTGACGTTTTGGTGGATAATGTTCTTAATCTCCTGCAAAACTTCACAAGCTAGAAGATTGAACAACGTTGCTCACTTATTTGCTAAACATTCTTCTGAAATTAATAAAAGAGTGATGCATCTTGTTTGCAATTAAATAAAGAGTGATGATATTTGCATTCCATCTTCTTTGTCACAAAGAAACATTAACAAAGTAAATTGATATTAGCAAAAAAAAATAGAGTGCCAATAACATTAGCTTTAACAAAATTTATTAGGTTTTCTATCAATAAATTATTTAGAGCCCACGCAAATCAAGATGACCCAATTCCATTTGTCTAGCAAATTAAATCAAACCCTTCAAGAAAGGTCGAACCAATCCTGAAACCTGAAACCTTCTTAAATCAATTGAATCAATCAAGCTAGGCAAATTAAACCTTATTTGAGATTTCAATGGCTTTCATTAAGGAAACCTGAAACCACAAAGAAGTGGCAACAGAGTTGCTCAATTTTCCGAATCTCGAGTAGCAAAAGGTCTTTTTTTTTTTTCTTTTTTTTTTTTTGTAACGGCCCAACTTGGTTCTCATCCGGACTCAGAAAATTAAAGCCATAAAATTTACACATTTCAAAAATCATAAAATCCATATTGAAATCAATTTCTTAGTAATACAATAAAAGTTATACAAAAATCATCAGAGGATAACCTAAACTTAACCATCCAATCAAGTTCGCGTGTATCCAGTCTCAAGTTTTTTATGCCAATCAATCCATCATATAATCCCCTTGATAGTTCCTCTATTTGAGGAAACATTTTTTTTTTCAAATCTTGATGAGTTAAATCCAATGAAACTCATTGTATGTGCAAATGAAATTAAAAAATCATTGACAAATTATTATATAAAATCATGATAGAGATTCAAAATTTTATCTATCAAAATGCTTTGTGATAACCACCAAAATTTTCAAACATCTTTCACAAAATAAAAGATCAATCAGTGACACATTAAAAATTGCACACAATTATCAATAGAAAGGATTTTACCAAACTTGATTGGTTTAGCCGATTCAACCAAAGATTCATACAACTTTTTTTTTTTTTTTTAGTATAAGTGGAAGAGTTCGAACTTGAAATTTCTTACTTACACTCCCATCGCCCGAATCACCAAACCTATCCCCTCCCCCAAAGATTAAAACAACTCCAAAAAACTTATGCGTGCAACTTGACGCTGCCATAACACACCAATTTTTTGCCTACACGACAGCTGGCAACGGATTGGGATACCCGAAATATTCCAAAAAAATATAGCCATACCACACAAGATTAAACCTCTTGATCTTGTTGGATGGGGGTTATGGCTACTTATTACTTACCGTTAGCCCGAAAGTTTCATAAATCAACACATGAAGAATCCAAAATCTCCTTGACATAGTCGAGTTCACAGCCTCCTGACTTTCATAAGAACATACGCAAAACAAAGTAATGTGCACAAATTACATGAATAATATTTAGATTAACAAACTGATTTTACTAATCTCACTATCAATAAAAAATTCCACAAAGAATTCATATTTTCATAAATCTTCAAAAAAATTCAAACTCAAACTGTTTG